ATAGAAGTAGAAATCAGTCCCATCCATTTTTGTTGTTTCAAGAAGTCTTCTAGTACTCTGGATTGCTCTTTCGCTGAGTCCATTTGATTGAAGAAACTCAGGGCTGCTTGTGACATGTTCAAAACCCCAGGATGTGACAGTCATAAAAGGTCTTGCTCGTGAACTGGGTGCCATTGTCTGAGTACAGTTTATGTGGTATCCTGTGTACTGAGAAGTGGCATTTGAGTTTGTTAATTACTGAAACTGGTGTTAGGTTTTCGAGTTATCAGTTTCAAACCATCCAGAATAAGAATCTACAAGCACGAGGTAGTGGTGGTTGTTCCACTCGAGTATGTCTGTGGCAGTGATGGACCAAGGGAGATCTGGAATGTGGTGTAGTTTCAGTGGTTGTTTTTGCTGGTGTGGTTTAAGACAGATACTGCATGATTTGACTTTGTCCTCTGTCAGTATTTATTGTCAACCAGAACACACTATCCCTTGCTCTTCTTTTTGTTGACACTATGCCTGGATGTCCTTTGTGTAGTTCCTATAAGTAGATCTCATGCAGTGGAGTTGGGACTCTAGCTCTATTGTCTTTCATAATAACAATGTTGTCAACAATCAGCTCTTCATAAAAACTGAAAAATGGTTTGATTGCTTTGGGTACACTACTCACTTGCTTTGGCCACCCATGCTGGATGTAGTGAGCAAGTTTCTGCAGGGTAGCATCTTTTGAGGTGTGTTCTGCAAGCTCTTGTAAGCGTCTTGGTGAATTGAGCTCAAGTGGCTTTACTTCAAAGTCATGTTGCTCCTCTTTGAGAGGTTGACCGTCCAGCTTTGGTGTACGAGAAAGAGTGTCTGCAATGTACAGATGTTTGCCTTTCTTGTAGATGAGTGTCAGGTTCAATTTTTGTAGTCTTAGCATCATTCACTGCAGCCGTGCTAGGATGAAAGGACGAAAGGGCTTGTTTTGAATTGTGATCAATGGTTGGTGGTCCATTTCAACCACCACTGGTTTGCCATAAAAATAATCTTAGAACTTGTAACATGAAAAATTACATGAATTTGAGCATACCATCTCTCCGTTTGAGGTATTAGTGCTTTTACTTTTAGCTGGGGACAAACATCTCAACCCTGGCCTGATAAAACATGACATCTAGGTTAGCCCGGAGGAGCGTGTGGGAGCTGCTGCAGGTGGAGACATCAATTTTCATCAAATTTACAAAGGAAATCAAATGCAAAACACAACAAAGTACACCTCCGTGGTTAAGTCCCGATATTATTAAACTTATGAAAACTCGAGATACAGCCCTAAAGAAAGCGTTAAAATCAAAGCTCCTGACTGATCTCGTGTCATACAAGAGTTTGAGAAATAAGGTGGTTGTACAACTACGTAAAGCTAAAGCTTCTTATTACATTCAAGTCATAGAGAGGGCAAGGGGTGATAGCACTCTGCTTTGGAAATGCTTGAACAATTGAACTAATACAAAGAGTCAAAATAAA